GCACAGGGCCTGGCACCAGGAGGATGCTCAATAAATTGCAACCAGGCTTAAAAAAGGCAACCCTCCAACCTCAGGTTGTTCATCTACGGGAAGGGAATAAAATAATAGCATCTTCTTGAGGAAGTTGTCCTGAGGAGGAAATCGATAATGGATGTGAAACTGGCACATAATTAGCACTCAGGAAGTGTTAGCTCTGGGGCTTTTGCTAGACTTGGCCTATTAAGGGTGACCTATGATATCGGTGCCCTCTGATAATGCCAGAAGAAGGGCTCAGAGGGCAAGCCAGTTAGGTTGCTTTGCATATTTTGTGCTGTGTATTATTTGATGTTTGACAGATAAATCAAAAGTGACCTTTGCTTTTTTTTTCCTTTTTTTGAAAATAAAGACAAGCAAAACTCTGCCTCAGTTTTCAGCTTTCACCCAGGGGGAAGAGCCCTTACAGGACTGTTGGGAAGATCAGACTGGGTGTGAAATGGGAGCCTGGCACCCTGCTCTGTCTGGCCCAAAGGACGTCATCTCAGTTCACTGGGCACCTGGACACCTCAGGCAGGCAAGTTCACCTGCTAAGCTGCCCCATGGTTACACCCGCCTCCGCCCCCGCCCCCAACACCCTGTGCCGCAGCCAAGCCGCAGAGGCCCTACCTTGAGTGTGGCGCCCAGCGAGCGTAGGCCGGTGGAGTGGCGCGCCAGCTTGAGGACGCGGAAGATGCGCATGAGGCGGAACACTTGTACCACTTTGCCCAGGTCGCCAAGCTCCTCGCCACCTGTGCCGACCCGGTCGCCGAGCGCCATGCCTGCCAGCAGCGTGAGGTAGAAGGGCAGTACCGACACGATGTCAATGAGGTTGAGAGGGTGGCAAAAGAAGTTGCGCGTGCTGGGTGCCAGCAGGAGGCGCGATGATACCTCGAAGCTGAACCAGGCGATACAGAAGTACTCCAAGTGCCTCAGCACCGGGTCGTCCCGCATGCCTGCCGCGCTGCGGCCAGCGGCCACTGCAGCCACGGCGGCAGCCGCCTCGTGGGCCTGGTACTCGGGCAGGCTGTGGATGCACATGGCGGCGATGGAGGCGAGCACCACGCCGATGGAGACGCAGCTGAAGAGCTTGCTGGGCAGCGAGTACCCCGGGTTCTCCATAGTGAGCCAGAGGCGGCGGCGCAGGCGGCCGCAGCGCGCACCACTGTAGCGCGCCAGCTCGCGCTGCACGTCGGAGATCTCGTCGGGGCACGGGTCCGTGCTGCTCGGCGCGTCGCTGTCCTCGTCCCAAGCGCGCGGCCGCGTCACCCGCCGCTCCAGGTAGCGCGCGCGGCAGCACGTGGCCAGCGCGCTCTCGCCCAGGCCCCAGTAGTCGGCCTCCTGGCCGAAGGCGAAGACGCACAGCTCGTCGAGCACGTGCAGGCGGCCCGTGCGGTAGAAGTGCAGCAGGCCCAGGAAGAAGCCCGGGTGCCTGTCGAAGTAGAACTCGCGCGCCGCAGCGTCGTAGTCGTCGCACAGGCGCCGCGCCTGCTCCTCGGACGCCGCTGCCTGCAGGCGGCCCAGCCGCATGCCCGGGAAGCGCGCCACGGCGCGTGCGCTCAGCCGCCGCCGCACGCCGCCCACGTTCACGCGCAGCACCTCGTCGCTTCGCCGCCAAGGGACACGGCCACCAGGCCCCGGGGACTCGCTCACCATGGCTTCAGTGCGCTCGCCTGCGGACACGGTAGGGGCACGCTGAGGAGGATCCCCGGACTTCCCTTCCGGGA